AGCGTTCTGATAAAATAAACACACTAGGCTGCAGAGAACTTGTTTGATGAGAGTTCATATTTCTTTTGTATCTCCTTAATTCTGGCATGTCTGTTGTTATCCAGGTATATACAGGAAGGTGAGACATTCATCTTGCCATATGTGGCTAAAAAGAACTCTGAACATATTTAGTATTCTTGAAATATGAAAGTTAAGTACATAGGTACGTGGGCTTCAGGTGTCAACACTGCGCTTGTTTCAGCCAATATCAGGTCACCCAGAAGACTGTGACACATTGTTCTTACCTCGTCTGGCAAAATAAAACAATAATATTGCCCCAAATATATGAAAAACCAGAGTTACATCACTTAATTCACCGGCGACGGTCGTGATGCTTCACGCCTAGAGAAACTTGCTCTATTTTCTTAAGTATACGAGTACTGTACATTGAAAGGCAATATTCAGTTGTCCGGAGTTCCCTCAGACGTTCACCTGGCCATGTCTGGCAAAAGGAAAATCTTTGCATCACTAATAAGTTCAACAACTCAGTTGCTTCATCCATGTCATAAACAAAACGCCCGGCACCCCCCGGGTGTTTCCTTGTAATATTTTGCTATTTTCTTTGTTTTCTTTTTTTGCTTATCACTTATTTTTGGGAGGACTATGAGAACATAAGGCATTCATTTTGCTATACCTGGCTACAGAAAAGCCTAAGTCTTATGAGTATTTAAAAAAAAATGAAACAATCGAACGTGGACCAAGGCAAGGCCTCAGTCCTTGGGCACCCTCTGGTCATTGAATGGGGCGGAGCTATAGCTTATGACGTTACAGGGGTGAGTCCTTACTATTTTTAGTTCTTGGGTTAGGTTAGGTCAGTGTAGCTGAGGGCCGGGTATTACTCCAGCGGATAAACAGAAGAATTGTTCAGGGAGGAAAGCACCAAAATTGGTGGACACACAGTAGAGCTTGACTCTGTAGAAGAGGTGGACCCACGCCAGATGCTGCCTCCCAGTTAAGTCATTTGATGTTTTTGTTGTTTCCTCACGTACTTTACATCCATTTGGGAAATATTTATAATAAAAAGTTTGTCAGCATCCTGCATGCACTTCTTATATTTATCACAAAACAAGGCTAATAAAGTACTTAGGTTCATACAAAGGAGTGTTAGTTACAAGACTAGCGAGGTTATCCTAAAACTATATCTTGCACGTGTGAGACCTCACTTGGATTACGCTGTTCAGTTCTCGTCACCGTACTTCAGAATGGATATAAAATCCCTAGAAAGAATTCAGAGGAGAATGACAAGACTAATCCCTGGCATTAGGAACCTTGAGTACATAAACAAGTTAAAGCATCTTAATTTGCACTCCCTTGAGAGACGTAGAGTGAGGAGCGAAATGATAGAGGTGTATAAATGGAAGTCAGGGTTGAACAAAGGGACATAACAAAGGTACTCAAACTATCCAACCAGGAGCGAACTCGTAGTAATGGTTCAAAATTAGACGAATTTCGATTTAGGCGCGAAATAGGTAAACATTGGTTTGGAAATAGAGTAGTGGATGAGTGGAACAAGTTACCAAACATCATCATTAACTCGAACACGATGGATAGCTTCAAACATAGGTTGGCTGGATATATGATTTTAGTTTTTTATTTTGCCGCTTACAGCGGCTAGTTTATTGTGCACCCCCATACTCATCTTGTGAGCGGTAGCACAAAAGGATTACAGAGTAGAGTTCACAAAGGGTCAGTATAACTAACCCCCGTGGTCAGGATATTATGGCACTGAATGTTACACAGTATTTCAGTTATATTATTTGTCAAGTTCTATACATAAAGGGTAACTTATTCACAACTGCGTGAGTACAGGAGTGAGGATATATGAGCAATAGGGGTTGGGTGTTAATGGGACTGCCCAGTATGGGCCAATAGGCCCGCTGCAGTTTCCTCCATTCTTATGTTCTTATGTAATTCAAACTATTCAAAGTAATAAAATGGATGAAATAAGTTTAAGAATGAAAGGCATTTAGTTAAGGGGGGTCCAATATACATTCGACATCAGCAACATATAAAATACAACAGACAATCGTTAAGGAGCAGCCTACCCCGGGGGGGGGGTCCTCAGCTTCTCATCCTGCCGGTGGAAGAGGTGATCCTATGTTCGGCACATCCCCATCTCGCCTACAGTCCATGAATACAGTAAACTTATTATAAGTTATTATCTCCAGCCCATTTACAGAGTTCACTCTCTACTATATGACATGTTCCTTCCTACACATACACTGACAGCTGTGCAGGAAGACCAGCCTGTACACACTTACATTTCCATCCACATCTGTTCTTACATCCAAATCTAATAAGTTGCTGACAAGAGACTCATGGTTCTGTAGTGTTGCCCCACAGGTGACCATACATTAGATGAGGGTTGTCTTCCTCAGTCTTCTGGTTTTGGTAAAGTTTGCATCACTTCCAGTGTTTGTCCCCAAACGTGGCCAGCTTGATAACCTGTTCTTCTCACTTGTTGGTGGAGGGCGGCCTGTGTTGGTGGATGGCGGCCTGTGTTGGTGGAGGGCGGCCTGTGTTGGTGGAGGGCGGCCTGTGTTGGTGGAGGGCGGCCTGTGTTGGTGGTGTATTCTCCATCAGCTTGTTTCCCTGGGCAAATAATATCTACCTAGACGAGTGACTTTGTCTTGGGGTAAACTGCAGCCATATAGAAAATTACAACTCTTTCAATCATATTCAGTCTCTCCGCTGTGATATCATCAGGCTGGTTGGACAATGTGAAGAGAACTTGAGTGATGTCAAGGAAGGTCCACCTAGCTGAGTGTTGCTGACGCAGTATCACAGCCTCTTAGGAAGTACAAGAATGGTAGTGCCTTTCATATACTTGGTCCTAGACTACAAGCAATGGTATAAGCTGGACTGTGACGGTAGTGACTTCTAGTCCCAGTGGTAATCCATACCTCTTGAATGTTTATTTTTGCACTGTATGCAAGAGAAAGGATCACGATGTCTGAATTTACTGTCCTGGCCATTATCTTCGAGTAACCACACTTGGCTGTGTGGAGTGACTGCAGAATTACACGAGTGTCATCCTCTTCATGATTACAAGGAGCTATGTCCACCTTGTTTACATTAGGAGGGCGGATAATGTCATCAAAGCATGTGCTGATTATGTCTGTACCTTAATGAGTCTTGATATCTGCAATGTAAGACGCTAGGAGAGCAAACAGCTCAGTCTTGTTGGTGTCATTTCTCAAGGAAGACTCTGTTTCCTGGATGGTGGTGGTCGGGTGACCCTTCTCTTACCACCGAGCTGCTCGACTGCTCTGCTTCAAACTGTGCACTACATTTACGTCTCAGACAATGTCAAGTCTCTTCGCGCTTTTAGCTTGGTGTTGTATATATGTAACTCAACAATAACTTTGGCAAAATCAAGGACATTTTTACAGTTAAATTGTTTTAGCAGGTTGATAATGGCAGCCCCGTCCAGTATCTTCACTTCAACACTGGGATCTACAACGGAGGGTTGGTGTGTTTCGAGGCATGAAAGAATATCAGATTTATGACCAGCGTGTAGTTGACCACTGGATGACAGAGAGGGATGATGGGCATGATTTCCATATCTGAAAAACAGCTCCTCAAGATTATCTTCCTTTGATTGAATAGCAAATATATTACAATCAGCTCTCAGGGTTAAAACGGTGTGGGGAGAGTGTCGTGGAGGTATTGAACAGCGCCACGTTGTTTCCTTTAACAGTGTCAGTCAATGGCTTTGTGAACAACTGGATTCGCTCCTCTACATATGCTTCATGTTATGACTGGTCTACTGTAGGTGATGAGCATTGTTCACTGAATCTAATGATGATAGGGCAGGATTTCGTTTGTGACAATGATGTACAATTCTGCTGACTCCCCTTTGAATGGGGTGTCAATTTCCTTCACCAGCATTACAAGGCACTTCACATCCTTGATAAAGGACTTGTGAACTGATGGTACCTGTACCTTCACACCCCTAGTCACTTCTGGACCAGCAGGCATCCACCTTCTAAGAGCTGATGGGTTCTCTGTGAGGCCCACGTCACCGTCATCGCCTTTGATAGCATCATATTCCTGCTCATGGTGATGGTCTAACACATTCAGGTTCAACACATCACCAGAGTTTTGAACAACAAATTGACCATTCTTGAATTCTTCATACAGTTGTGGGTGCTTGCTGGGTTAAGCTAACATGTCTAAGATATAATGTATGGTAACCAGCGAACATGTTGATCCATAGCGAATATCCCTGGTGCCATAAGACTGTACTGTACAGCAAGAGATATCCTCCTCTAAGTGATCTCACCTCCCAGCATCACCAAAGCAGTTGACCAGTGTTTGAATTGTTGTGTTTTTTTATACATATCAAGTTTCCATTTACAGAAATACTGTACTTGAGCTCTTGATACTCAACTGGAATCCATTCAGAATTAGTTTTGTCTGGGAAGTATATATAATGGTGCTGCTGCCACCTGGTGTGGATATCGGCAACATGTTACATGTGATGCTTTCAAAAGGCATCTGGCCGACCTGAAGTGGTAATGCTTGCCTGAGTCAATACATCAGTACAACCTCTGTTTTGGAGCCAATGAGCAAACATCCACAAGTCACCATTTCAATACAAACTGAGAATGAAAGGTTGCATATGTTAATAGTATATAGAGAGATCCAACAAGGACATTGGCACATGATGATTATTCACGTAGTAAGTTTCTGTCGACAAAACGGCGGCCATATTGTTTAATAATTTTAATCACCTTAGAATACAATTATGAGTTGGTTACAAATTTTATAATTATGATTCCAATAATTTGGCGCCTTCCTCCCAGGTGAACAATTCTGCCCTTTTAGGAGTCTTATCAACTAGACTATATCAGGCATAAGGGGGCACAGTATCAGGCGTCAGGGGGCACAGTATCAGGCATAAGGGGGCACAGTATCATGCGTCAGAGGGCACAGTATCAGGGGGCACAGTATCAGGCATGGGGGCACAGTCAGGCGGGGCACAGTATCAGGCATCAGGGGCACAGTAACAGAAGCGTCAAGAGGGCACAGCACAGCGTCAGGCGTATCCAGGCGTCAGGGGCACAGTGTCAGGGGGCACAGTATCAGGCATAAGGGCGCAGCTGGCATCAGGCGTCAGGGGCACAGTATCAGGCATCAGGGGGCACAGTATCAGGTGTCAGGGGGGCACATTATCAGGCATAAGGGGGCACAGTATCAGGCGTCAGGGGCACAGTATCAGGCGCCAGGGGGCACAGTATCAGGCATCCAGGGGCACAGTACAACAGCGCAGAGGGCATCAGGCGTCATAAGGTCACAGTCCAGGCGTCAGGCACAGCACAGTATCATCAGGGGGCACAGTATCAGGGGGCACAGTATCAGGCATCAGGGGCACAGTATCAGGTGCACAGTCAGTCAGGCATCAGGCGTCAGGGGCACAGTGTCAGGGGCACAGTCTCCAGGCATCAGGGGGCACAGTATCAGCAGGCGTCAGGGGCACGGTATCAGGCGTCAGGGACAGTATCAGGCGTCAGGAGGCACAGTATCAGGCGTCAGGAGGCGCAGTATCGGGCGTCAGGGGTATCAGGCGTCAGGGGCCACAGCATCAGGCGTCAGGGCCACAGTATCAGGCGTCAGGGCCACAGTATCAAGCGTCAGGGGCCACAGCATCAGGCGTCAGGGGCCACAGCATCAGGCGTCAGGGGCACAGTATCAGGCGTCAGGGGCCACAGTATCAGGCGTCAGGGGCACAGCATCAGGCGTCAGGGGCGTCACAGTATCAAGGCGTCAGAGGCACAGCATCAGGCGCAGAGGCACAGTATCAGGCGTCAGGCGTCAGGGCCACAGCATCAGGCGTCAGGGGATAGTATCCAGGCGTCAGGGGCCACAGCATCAGGCGTCAGGGGGCCACAGTATCAGGCGTCAGGGGCCACAGCATCAGGCGTCAGGGGCCACAGCATCAGGCGTCAGGGGCACAGTATCAAGCGTCAGCCACAGTATCAGGCGTCAGGGGGCTGGCATCAGGCGTCAGGGGGGACAGTATCAGGCGTCAGGGCATGGCATCAGGCGTCAGGGCCACAGCATCAGCATCAGGCGTCAGGCGTCAGGGGCCACAGCATCAGGCGTCAGGGGACAGGCGTCAGGGGCATCAGGCGTCAGGGCCTGATATCAGGCGTCAGGGGCCACAGCATCAGGCGTCAGGGGGCAGGCGTCAGGGGGGGGTCAGGGGCACAGTATCAGGCGTCAGGGCGTCACAGCATCAGGCGTCAGGCGGGGGACAGTATCAGGCGTCAGGCGGGGCACGGCACCAGGCGTCAGGGCTGGTATCAGGCGTCAGGGGCCACAGCATCAGGCGTCAGGGGCCACAGCATCAGGCGTCAGGGGGACAGTAAGCGTCAGGGGCCACAGCATCAGCGTCGTCAGGGGCCTACATCAGGCGTCAGGGCCACAGCATCAGGCGTCAGGGGGCACAGTATCCATCAGGCGTCAGGGGCCACAGCATCAGGCGTCAGAGCGCACAGTATCTTATCAGGCGTCAGGGCCACAGCATCAGGCGTCAGAGGCACAGTATCAGGCGTCAGGGGCCACAGCATCAGGCGTCAGGGGCCACAGCATCAGGCGTCAGAGGCACAGTATCAGGCATCAGGGGCACAGTATCAGGCGTCAGGGGCCACAGCATCAAGCGTCAGGGGCCACAGTATCAAGCGTCAGGGGCCACGGCATCAGGCGTCAGAGCACAGTATCAGGCGTCAGGGCCTGGCATCAGGCGTCAGGGCACAGTATCAAGCGTCAGGCCACAGCATCAGGCGTCAGGGCCCACAGCATCAGGCGTCAGGGCGCGTCAGGGGGGTATCACAGTATCAGGCGTCAGGGCCACAGCATCAGGCGTCAGCACAGTATCAGGCGTCAGGGGCCACAGGGGGCATCAGGCGTCAGGGCACAGTATCAGGCGTCAGGGCATCGGGCGTCAGGGCCACACATCGGGCGTCAGGGCGTCAGGGGCACGTCAGTATCAACCGTCAGGGGCCACAGCATCAGGCGTCAGGGGCACAGTAACAAGCGTCAGAGGGCACAGTATCAAGCGTCAGGGGGCACAGTATCAGGCATATGGGGCACAGTATCAGGCGTCAGGAGGCACAGTATCCAGGCGTCACGGGGCACAGTATCAGGCGTCAGGGGCCACAGCATCAGGCGTCAGGGGCACAGTAAAAGCGTCAGAGGCACAGTATCAGGCATCAGGGGGCACAGTAACAAGCGTCAGAGGCACAGTATCAAGCGTCAGGGGAATACGGTATCAGGCATCAGGGGGGCACAGTAACAAGCGTCAGAGGCACAGTATCAAGCGTCAGGGGCACAGTATCAGGCATCAGGGGGCACAGTAACAGAAGCGTCAAGGGCACAGTATCAGGCGTCAGGGGGCACAGTATCAGGCGTCAGGGGGCACAGTATCAGGCGTCAGAGGCAGAGTATCAGGCGTCAGAGGGGCAGTATCGTCAGGGGCACAGTATCAGGCGTCGGGGGCCAGAGCATCAGGCGTCAGGGGCACAGTATCCAGGCGTCAGGGGCACAGTATCAGGCGTCAGGGGCCACAGCATCAGGCGTCAGGGCCACAGTATCAGGCGTCAGAGGCACAGTATCAGGCGTCAGGGGCCACAGTATCAGGCGTCAGGGCCACAGCATCAGGCGTCAGGGTCACAGCATCAGGCGTCAGGGGCACAGTATCAGGCGTCAGGGCCACAGTATCAGGCGTCAGAGGCACAGTGTCAGGCGTCAGGGCACAGTATCAGGCGTCAGGGCACAGTATCAGGCATCAGGAGCACAGTATCTGTCAAGCGTCAGGGGTCAGGGCACAGTATCAGGCGTGGGGGCCAGGCATCAGGCGTCAGGGGGCACAGTATCCAGGCGTCAGGAGGCACAGTATCAGGCGTCAGAGGGCACAGTATCAGGCGTCAGGAGGGCACAGTATCAGGCATCAGGGAGCACATCAAGCGTCCAGAGGGCACAGTATCAGGCGTCAGAGGGCACAGTATCAGGCGTCAGAGGGCAGTATCAGGCGTCAGAGGGGCACAGTATCAGGCGTCAGGAGGGCACAGTATCAAGTAGCAAGCGTCAGAGGGCACAGTATCAGGCGTCAGAGGGCACAGTATCAGGCGTCAGAGGCGCAGTATCAGGCGTCAAGGGGCACAGTATCAGGCATCAGGAGCACAGTAACAAGCGTCAGAGGGGCACAGTATCAGGTGTCAGGGGCACAGTATCAGGCGTCAGGGGGCACAGTATCAGGCATCAGGGGGCACAGTACCACGCGTCAGAGGGCACAGTATCAGCCGTCAGAGGGCACAGTATCAGGCGTCAGGGGGCACGGTATCAGGCGTCAGGGGGCACAGTATCAGGCGTCAGGGGGCAGAGTGTCAGGGGCACAGTATCAGGCATCAGGGGACACAGTATCATCCAGGTGTTGGGGCACAGTATCACGCGTCCAGGGCACAGTATCAGCACAGGGGGCACAGTATCAGGCGTCAGGAGGCACAGTATCAGACGTCAGGTGGCAAAGTATCAGGCGTCAGGGGGCACAGTATCAGGCAACAGGAGGCGCCGTATCAGGCGTTAAGGGGCACAGTATCAGGCGTCAGAGGGCACATTATCAGTCGTCAGGAGGCGCAGTATCAGTCGTCAGGAGGCACAGTATCAGTCGTCAGGAGGCGCAGTATCAGTCGTCAGGAGGCGCAGTATCAGTCGTCAGGAGGCGCAGTATCAGTCATCAGGAGGCGCAGTATCAGTCATCAGGAGGCACAGTATAAGTCGTCAGGAGGCGCAATATCAGTCGTCAGGAGGCACAGTATCAGTCATCAAGAGGCACAGCATCAGGCATCAGGAGGCACAGTATCAGTCATCAGGAGGCACAGTATCAATGGTCAGGAGGCATAGTATCAGTAGTCAGGAGGCGCAGTATCAGTCATCAGGAATGTAGTATCCAGTCATCAGTAGATGCAGTATAAGTCGTCAGGAGGCTCAGTGTCAGTCGTCAGGAGGCAAAGTATCAGTCGTCAGGAGGCGTAGTATCAATGGTCAGGAGGCATAGTATCAGTAGTCAGGAGGCGCAGTATCAGTCATCAGGAACTTAGTATCACTCATCAGGAGGTGCTACGACCTATTGCAATCACCCCAATTCCCAGCTAATCTGTGAAAGTTTTGTGTTCGACTGGGCTTATGCTGATATTGCAGGAGTCGTAGACCCTCAGCAATTTGGCAACATGGAAACTTCCTCCACCACTCACTGTCTTGTCAGCTTTCTCGATTACATATACCGCCATCTGGAGAAACGAAAAACGTCTGTAGCTGTCGCCTTCATTGATTTCACTAAAGCATTCGACCTAGTCGACCACAATATAATCATCAACAAAGCGATTGACCTCGGGCTTCGGAGAAGTCTTATACCATGGCTTACAGACTTCCTCAGTGACCAACGCCAAGCTGTACGCTTCCGAGGGGCTGTCTCCACCTTTCAGTCACTCACCTGTGGCGTCCCCCAAGGCACCAAGATGGGACCACTCTGCTTCCTTATGCTCATCAATGATGCCCTAAAAGAAACCCCTGCTCGCTGGAAATATGTCGACGACTCCACCATTGGGATCAGCGTCAACAATTCTGCTCCCAACTATACCGCCCTTCAGGATTTATTGAACAGTCTCCAAAACTGGGCCACCAACAACCATGTCACCATCAACCATACCAAGACCATGGTTATGCACATCAACCTCTCCTCCGACATTGTCCCACCTCCTTCCATTACCCTAGGTCCGAACACACTCCAGGTTGTAGATTCCACGAAGCTCCTCGGCGTCACCATAGACAACAAACTAAATTGGAAACCACACGTCAGTGAACTTGTCAAATCCTCCAGTTTCCGTCTCCACCTCCTCCGCCGACTCAAGTCCCTCGGAGTTCCTGCACCCGAGCTCCGCAGTGTTTACACAACATTCATACTTCCCAAGCTCACCTATGCCTCCCCCACCTGGTCTTCCTCCCTAAATGCCACACAACGTAAACACCTAGAAAAAGTGCAAAAGAGGGCATGCAAGATTATTCTTTCCCCTTCCTACTCCACATATCAAGAAGCGCTCAACACACTGACCCTTTCGACTCTCACTGACCATCACCACGACCTCATCTGCAAATTTGGTAAGAAGCTTTTACACCATCCTCGACACCGGCTCCTACTTCCACCTGAGATCCCTAGTCCGAGAATTGCTGTTCGATACCACAACCGCATCCAGCCCATACGTGCACGAACTGATCGCTATAAGAACAGCCCAGTCCCAACCATTGTAAAAATTATCAATAACTTGTAATAAACCAGTGTATTCACTCCCAGTAAACATTACTCCTTGCACTGTCACTATGTTGAAATGAACTGTAGTTTGAGCTTTTCCCTATCTAGTTATTATATGTCTTATTTGTGTCACTTATGTTACTTGCATAGTATTTGTAATTCGTAACCCATTCCCCAAATATGTAACTGTATATTTTCAGCCTTCTGGCTGCCAAGCTCTTTCAATAAACCGTTAATTATTATTATTATTTATTATTATTTATCAGTCGTCAGGAGGCACAGTATCAGTAGTCAGGAGGTGCAATATCAGTCATCAGGAACTTAGTATCAGTCGTCAGGAGGCACAGTATCAGTCGTCAGGAGGCGCAGTATCAGTCGTCAGGAGGCGCAGTATCAGTCATCAGGAGGTGGAGTATCAGTCATCAGGAGGCACAATATCAGGCATCAGGAGGCACAGTATCAATGGTCAGGAGGCATAGTATCAGTAGTCAGGAGGCGCAGTATCAGTCGTCAGGAACTTAGTATCACTCATCAGGAGGTGCACTATCAGTCGTCAGGAGGCACAGTATCAGTCGTCAGGAGGCGCAGTATCAGTCATAAGGAACTTAGTATCAGTCGTCAGGAGGCACAGTATGAGTCGTCAGAGGCGCAGTATGAGTCATCAGGAGGTGTAGTATCAGTCGTCAGGAAGCGCAGTATCAGTCATCAGGAGGCACAATATCAGTCATCAGGAGGCACAGTATCAATGGTCAGGAGGCACAGTATCAGTCGTCAGGAGGCGCAGTATCAGTCGTCAGGAGGCACAGTATCAGTCATCAGGAGGTGTAGTATCAGTCGTCAGGAGGCGCAGTATCAGTCATCAGGAGGCGCAGCATCAGTCATCAGGACTTAGTATCAGTCGTCAGGAGGCACATTATTAGTCGTCAGGAACTTTGTATCAGTCATCAGGAAGCGCAGTATCAGTCATCAGGAAATTAGTATCAGTCATCAGGAGGCGCAGTATCAGTCGTCAGGAGGCGCAGTATCAGTCATCAGGAGGCACAATATCAGGCATCAGGAGGCACAGTATCAATGGTCAGGAGGCAGAGTATCAGTAGTCAGGAGGCGCAGTATCAGTCGTCAGGAACTTAGTATCACTCATCAGGAGGTGCACTATCAGTCGTCAGGAGGCACAGTATCAGTCGTCAGGAGGCGCAGTATCAGTCATCAGAAGGCGCAGTATCAATCGTCAGGAACTTAGTATCGGTCATCAAGAGGCGCACTATCAGTCGTCAGGAGGCACAGTATCAGTCGTCAGGAGGCGCAGTATCAGTCGTCAGGAGGCACAGTATCAATCTTCAGGAGGCGCAGTATCAGTCATCAGGAGGACCAGTATTAGTCTTCAGGAGGCGCAGTATCAGTCATCATGAGGCGCAGTATTAGTCTTCAGGAGGCACAGTATCAGTCGTCAGGAGGCGCAGTATCAGTCGTCAGGAGGCACAGTATCAGTCATCAGGAGGCGCAGTATTAGTCTTCAGGAGGCGCAGTATCAGTCATCAAGAGGCGCAGTATAAGTCTTCAGGAGGCGGAGTATCAGTCATCAGGAGGCGCAGTACTAGTCTTCAGGAGGCACAGTATCAGTCGTCAGGAGGCGCAGTATCAGTCGTCAGGAGGCACGGTATCAGTCATCAAGAGGCACAGTATCAGTCATCAGGAGGCGCAGTATTAGTCTTCAGGAGGCACAGTATCAGTCGTCAGGAGGTGCAGTATCAGTCGTCAGGAGGCAATTTATCAGTCATCAAGAGGCACAGTATCAGTCGTCAGGAGGCACAGTATCAATGGTCAGGAGGCATAGTATCAGTCGTCAGGAGGCGCAGTATCAGTAGTCAGGAGGCATAGTATCAGTCGTCAGGAGACGCAGTATCAGTCGTCAGGAACTTAGTATCAGCCATCAGGAGGCGCACAATCAGACATCAGGAGGCGCAGTATCAGTCGTCAGGAGGCGCAGTATCAGTCATCAGGAGGCACAGTATCAATGGTCAGGAGGCATAGTATCAGTCGTCAGGAGGTGCAGTATCAGTCGTCAGGAGGCACAGTATCAGTCGACAGGAACTTAGTATCAGTCATCAGGAGGCGCATTATGAGTCGTCAGGAGGCACAGTATCAGTCGTCAGGAGGTGCAGTATGTCATCAGAAGGCGCCCATCAGTCGTCAGGAACTTAGTATTGGTCATTAGAGGCGCACTATCAGTCGTCAGGAGGCACAGAATCAGTCGTCAGAAGGCGCAGTATCAGTCGTCAGGAGGCACAGTATCAGTCGTCAGGAGGCGCAGTATCAGTCGTCAGGAGGCGCAGTATCACTCATCAGGAGGCACAGTATCAATGGTCAGGAGGCATAGTATCAGTCGTCAGGAAGCACAGTATCAATCGTCAGGAGGTGCAGTATCAGTCATCAGAAAGCGCCCTTATCAGTCGTCAGGAACTTAGTATCGGTCATCAGGAGGCGCACTATCACTCGTCAGGAGGCACAGTATCAGTCGTCAGGAGGCGCAGTATCAGTCGTCAGGAGGCGCAATATCAGTCGTCAGGAGGCGCGGTATCAGTCATCAGGAGGCATGGTATCAGTCGTCAGGAGGCGCAGTATCAGTCGTCAGGAGGCGCAGTATCACTCATCCGAAGGCACAGTGTCAATGGTCAGGAGGCATAGTATCAGTCGTCAGGAGGCGCAGTATCAGTCGTCAGGAACTTAGTATCAGTCATCAGGAGGCGCATTATCGGTCGTCAGGAGGCACAGTATCAGTCGTCAGGAGGTGCAGTATCAGTCATCAGAAGGCGCCCTTATCAGTCGTCAGGAACTTAGTATCGGTCATCAGGAGGCGCACTCAGTCGTCAGGAGGCACAGTATCAGTCGTTAGGAGGCGCAGTATCAGTCGTCAGGAGGCGCGGTATCAGTCAGGAGGCAGTATCAGTCGTCAGGAGGCGCAGTATCAGTCATCAGGAGGCGGTATCAGTCATCAGGAGGTATCAGTCGTCAGGAGGCGCAGTATCAGTCGTCAGGAGGCGCAGTATCAGTCGTCAGGAGGCGCAATATCAGTCATCAGGAATGTAGTATCAGTCGGGTAGGCGCAGTATCAGTTATCAGGAGGCGCATTATCAGTCGTCAGGAATGCAGTACCAGTCATCAGGAACTTTGTATCAGTCATCAGGAAGCGCAGTATCAGTCGTCAGGGGGCACAGTATCAGTCATCAAGAGGCGCAGTATCAGTCATCAGGAGGCGCAGTATCAGTCACAGAATGTACAGTATCCAGTCGTCAGGGCACAGTATCAGCACAGCGCGCGTATCGGTGGGCGTCAGAGGCAGGTATCAGGCGTCAGGGGGCAGTTTCAGGCGTCAGGAGGCACAGTATCAAGCGTCAGGGGCATGTATCAGGCGTCAGCAAGGTAGCTTGAGGCATCAGTACAGCATGGCGTCAGAGGGCACAGTATCAG